TCGTGTAAGTGCTGTGCTCTGTCCGGGCTGTAAATCAGTATGTCGTCCAGATAAACGATGACGCACTTATCTAAAAGCGGGCGGAATGCTTCGTTCATGGTCATTTGGAAGGTGGCGGGGGCGTTGGTCAATCCGAATGGCATGACGGTGTATTCGAAGGATCCGTAGCGTGTTCGGAATGCGGTTTTAGGGCAGTCGGGTGGATTAACGCGGATTTGGTGGTAGCCTCCCCGGAGGTCAATTTTCGAGAAAACCCGGGCTGTGCGCAGTTGGTCGATCAGTTCGTCGGCTCGTGGGATGGGGTAACGGGATTTAATGGTAACCCTGTTCAGTGCCCTGTAGTCGATACACATGCGAAACCCCCCGTCTTTTTTCGGTGTGAACAGTATGGGTGCGGCGAAGGGCGACGAACTAGGGCGAATGAATTCCTTCTCGAGTAGGTAATCGAGCTGCTTCCTCAGTTCGTCTAGTTCGGGTTGGGTCAGTCGGAACTATCGCTGTACTGTTGGCTGTGCCCCCGGTTCCAGTTCTATCCTGTGATCGTGCGGTCGCTGAGGTGGCAGTCCCGTCGGCAGGTCGTCCGGGAAAATGTCACTGTACTGTTTTAACAGTGTCGCCAGGTCACTCGGTACGTCGGTCAGCAGTTTCCGTAAATCGCCCCCCTTGTCTGCTGCCTCGGCTTCCCGAATGTCAACCGCGTACACGTCAGCTCCGGCCGCTACAGCGCGCTTCATCGTGATCGCATTGACACGCACCGACGAAGACTCAGGCGAGCCCCAGCGAGGTAAGGCGATGTTGTTACCGTTTACTCGCACGGTGCAGTCACCCGTCGTCCAGTCAATTCGCGGATTGTGTCGTCGCAGCCAATCACGCCCGAGTAAAATGTCGGTTCCGTCGAGGGTCGTTGCGAGCATTTCCTGACTAAACGTGAAGTTACCCCCGCATCGAATCCGGACTCGGTCTACGCGTTCCCGTATTGCCAGCGGCGTGCCGTCTACCAGTCGTGCGTCGATCTCAGGTAAGCATCTGTCCAGTGGCAGTCGCAGTTTTCGTGCTGTAGCAGTGTTAATGAGGCTGTGGCTGGCTCCCCCGTCTACGAAGATTTTAACTAAGTCCGTCCCAATTTTCCCACTGAGCAGTATAGGGCTGTCTACCGTGGTACCCTCCTTATTCGGCCGGGTGTGGTCGATTGCGTGAACCGGCACAATCACTCGGTGAGGGTCGGTTGGGTCGGGCGAGCGGCGTGACCTGTCAGTAGAGGGCCCGTCTGCTACTGACTTCCAGCGTTTCCCTGCTGCTTGGTCTGTGTCTGCTGCTCAGCTTCCCCCTTTCCCTTAGCGTTTTCCGGGCATTCGCTCTTGCGATGTCCCGGCCGATTGCACGCAAAGCAGCGCCCTTTGAACGGTGCGGCAGCGGCATTTGCGGCGACGGCGCGTATCGTGGCGCTTTCGTTCGTCCCACGAGGCCGATGTCCCCAGTTGTTGTTTCCGTAGGACCCCGGTCTCGGTCGGCGAAAGAAGTCGAGCTTCTCCGCCATAGCGAGAATTTCCTGAAATTCGGTGACGCCGCGAAGCTGGATTTCCTGAGCGATGTCCTGCTTCAGGCCGCCGATGTAGCGGTCGATGCGTTCGCTCTCATGCATGTAGCCCACCTGCTCGCATAGCGCCAGAAATCCGCTCGTGTAATCCTGGACGGAACCGAGTTGGCGCCAAGTGCGGAGCTTCTGTCGCGCCGAGATCGAGGCCGCGATTGGCTCAAATCGAGCGCGCAGACCTGCGTACCACGCGTCCCACGTGCGATACTGGGGCACCTCCACGAAATACGACGGCGCCCAGGGTCCGGTTTGTCCTTCCCGTGTCGGTAGTGTCGCGTAGTCGGTCGGCTTCGTGACGATGACGCGCCACCGGTCCATGGCGGGTCCTCGCAGCAACGACACGGCGTATCGAATCTTCGCCGAGTCCTCCGAGACGTAGTTGGCGTCGAAGAAAACATTCATTGTGAACAACCACGCCTGGACGGTAGGACCACCCCGTTGACTCGGGTCAAAGCATGGCGGGCGCTGTGGCTTCAGCGGCATCGGTGACGGCAGTCCCGAATCGTGGGTTGGTGCCGAAATCGTGACGCGAGGCTGACTTGGGGCCGCAGGCGTCGCTCTGGGGTGTGTCGTGCCGTGGTCGTCGTCTCCGTCGGGGCGGACGACGCCATCACTGGCCGCGCTCGCGGGTTGCCCCACACTCTCGTGTTGTGATGTTGAGGGTGCGGGTTGAATCGGAGTGCCAGGTGCTTGAGATTGTGCTCTCAGGAGGTCATTTTGCAGTGATGAGCGTTCTGCCGTCAATGCCGCGATTTCCTCGGAGCTTTCGTGCAGTTGTCGCAGCAGATCGTTCAAACGCTCCTGCGTGAGAGTGGTGACGTTGATGTTTTCGGCCATGACGAAGGGCGTCGGCTCGTCTTAGTCTAGGCGCAGTCGTGGCTGCACGCGTTTACGAGAGAACGCGAGGACAGCGGCTCCTAGGGGCTAAGGTGCGTGAGTCCCTTCGAGTGAAAAATCAAAAGTTGATTTCCTGGTGTGCGGAGATGCGCGGTCCGAGAGAAAAGGGGCTCTGATACCAAGTGTTACGGTTGCAATGAATCGAGGTAGCGAGAATTGCACTAAGGTGTCAAAACGAGTACAAAATGTGAGCGAAGGCATGAGCGAACATTTATACGCGAAACATGCAAAACGGTAACGCGGTGCGTGCGAGCTGGCTAGTGCTACGCTGGAGCGAGGCTCGGGCTAGTCCCGAAGCGTAGGCCGATGCGGCCATGCCAGCAGTGCGAGGTTTGGCAAAACTGTCAAGAATAATATATATTTCTATATATTGTTTTGTAACTGCCTGTAGTGTAGACTACTGTAGTTATATGATGTTCTGTTTGGTGGTGCACCTTTCCTTCTTGCCTATTTGTACTCCTCGCTCTATAGTGAAACCCCTCACTTCTCTTTTCAACTTTCTCGACTTACCTAAACTCACTCGAGCTCGATCTCCTCTCTCAAGTTACCATGGCTCCTAAGCCTAACTCTTCCTAATTACTTTCACATGCTATCAGAGAGAGTTACGATCCTGGCCTTGTGCTTCCGCTGCTACTGAGTGTACTGCACGCCCCGTGGTGTGCCCTTTCATTCGCGGCCCCGCCACCCGCTCGCGGCCCCGCACCTTCTTAAGCGGCCCCGCCGCCCTACTGTCGCGGCCTCGCCGCCTCTCTGCTGTCGCGGCCCCGCCGCCCTACACTGCGGCCTCGCCGCCCTACTCCTGCGGCCCCGTCGCCGCCCGTCCCGGCCCGTCGCCGCCCGTACCAGCCCGTCGCCGCCCTTCGCGGCGTCACGTGCCGCCCGTCCCGGCCCGTCGCCGCCCGTGCGGTACCCACCCTAGGCACCGATGCCACCTGCGGCCCCGCCCTCTTGCGGCCCCGACCCCGCCCCGGCCATGCCCTGTCGTCAGCCGCGGCACACCGGGGGCACGTGCACCGCCCCCCCCCCCTTTTCCCGTCACCCGTCGCGGCTCCTTCGGGGGCCGCGACCTGGAAGGGGGGGGCAGGCGTCGCCCCCTCTGCCGCCTGCTTTGGCGCCCAGGGAGGCCGTGCGTCGGCCCCCCCCCCCTCCCTCTCCCCCTTCTTCTCCTCCTCCTTTTGTTCCCTCTGCTGCAGCTGCCGCTGGGGGGGAGGGTGTGAGAGTGTGGGGGAGCCCGGGGAGGGACTGGGGGTGGTGGGTGTGGGGGTGATGGGTAATGTCTGTTCCCCTAGCCCTACGGCCCCATTCTCCTCCGTTTGCTTCCCCCCCCCCCCCCCCTCTGCTGCTCCTGCAGCAGTGTGAGGGGGATGGGGAGGGGGAGGGGGAGGTTGAGGGGATGTAGGGGGTGACCAACCAGAGCCTACCACCTCCTCTCCTCTCTCTCTCCTCTCTCCCTTCTGTTCTCTGTTTTCTGCACTGGTTGCCTACTGCTGCTACTTCAACTTCACTCTGCTTGGTGTACCCCATTATGGGGGCGTTGACTGCACATTTTTCCCTACAGGCACTTATGGGGGCGTGTCAAGAATAATATATATTTCTATATATTCTTTTGTAACTGCCTGTAGTGTAGACTACTGTAGTTATATGATGTTCTGTTTGGTGGTGCACCTTTCCTTCTTGCCTATTTGTACTCCTCGCTCTATAGTGAAACCCCTCACTTCTCTTTTCAACTTTCTCGACTTACCTAAACTCACTCGAGCTCGATCTCCTCTCTCAAGTTACCATGGCTCCTAAGCCTAACTCTTCCTAATTACTTTCACAAAAACAGTGCGCGCGAAGTCGGCGAAGTTCCGTTAGCAGTAACGGGCGAACAATCGGCTGTTTTGCTGTACGCGATGTAGTCGGCTCCGTAAGGAATGCCGAGAAAATTCCTTACAGGTTAGTACATGTACCCAACTCTTTCATAGTGCATTCATTCTCGTTCTTTCTCATAGTCACGACCGGGCCAGCAGTTCGAGGTTTGGTGAAACAGTGCGCGCGAAGTCGGCGAAGCCTCGTTAGCTGTAACGGGCGAACAACGGTTGCTGCTGTACGCGATGTTGCCGGATGCGCTAAGGAATATCAAGAAAATTCCTTACATACACCGATAGTTAACTACGGCACTTGTCTATCGTGTCTGCGGGCGCATTCCGAGCTCCAGGTCATCCGTAGTTTGTGTCTTCCGAAAAATGTGGTAGTTAATCGGATAACCCGCGGTTTGAGCCTAGATTTGATTGGATTCCACAAATTTAGCGTGACATGAAGATGGATGACCCGAAGCCAGGAATGCGCCCTAATGGCTTCCTCGACAACCCCCTACACTTTCAATTCAATGTGCCCCCACCAATCCCGTCATGCACGACTCGGGTTCCACCTTCTTCCTGTTTTCTTTGGGCTAGTACGTCCCTAACTCCCTGTTATCTGGAGAGATTTCTTCAATTTCGATGAGTGGTTCAAACTGAGGTTGCTGGAAATGGCTCCGTCGTTCCCCATTTTGAGCACCAAGGACCTAGTGAAGAGACATGAGGGAATCCATAAGCTGACTGAGGAGGACATTTTACGACCAACAGCAGATGTTATACGGCAAGTCTATGAAGCGATCGTGGCATTCACGTTGCCAAGGAAAAGGTACTACTAGATCTTGACAATCATGCAAAATATCGCCCCGAAGTCACTAATTAAAGCCCCTTTCTGTCTGTCATTAGGGACCAATGCCATTTGGATAACGCGATCGCGCGAACACACCTTGACGCACCAGAGGCGCATCAAGAGTCGATCGGAATCATCCGTCTCTTCCGATCAGTTTCACAGATCGTGTCTGCTGCAGATTCACCATGGTTTACAATACGAGATTTGGTGAAACCCAATTCAGCCCGAACAATTCGTGCGCTCTCCGCTTTCGCAAACTTCTTTCTCTTCATGTGAGTTTAATGCCTAAAAAAACACATTTCCAGGTTAACTGTTATTATGCCACTGTCTCTTCCACTCGTATCATCCGATGATGGGATGTCTCGTCCAACTGTGGTCAAACAGATTCTGTTGCATGCCAACAAGTTGCTATTTGCTTAAACAAAGTACGGTTTTCTCTTTATGTCATTCTTCCCTTTCGTTACAGTCATCAGCATGCAGATAGTCTGGACCTCGTTCTGGAAACGAACAACAGAATGACAGAGTCAAAACACATGCTCGAGGATCGGATTGCAGAGGTAAAAGCGTGGTCCATTCAAAATTGCTCAAGTCTGTCCAGACGATAGAATGTCCATGCAGTAATTAATCTATTATGGACAACCTGTTGGCTTGCAGGTGGACGCAGAAAATGTATCACAGGACGAACGGAACAAAGATGATAAGAACGAAGCAGAATGGCTGAGGGCGGAAGTGGGTGGCCTTAAACCTAAGATTCAAGAATTAACCAAGCAGCGAGACGAAGTTGTGAAGCTGGTGTCTACAAGGCAGGAGCAGCTGAGTAAGCTGGATGCAGAGGTCAGTTTTTCAGCCCAGCATGGTAGGCTTGACGAGTATACGTATGATCCCAATTTACTTGATTGTATGGCAGATAATGGCAGAGAAGGGCAAGGCTGCTGACGCCAAGGCAGAAGCACAGGTTCTTCAGCATCAAATTGCCCAATCTCCTAAGAAGTTGGAGGTGAGAGGGATGCATGTGGACGTCTTCGCGCACATATGTGTTTAAGAGGTTCTTACACACCAATCGATCGCAGATGGCTCTTAAACGAGTTGAAGAGGGCATTCAGGCTGAAACCGAAGCGAAGAAGGAAGAATCTGACAGCGCCGAGGTTTTTCGCCAGAAACTTTTAATGTCAAGAGATGTATGTACCTTGCACCTGTTGCCTCAACTTGTGGACGTATTCGACCTTCCTCTGACATGCTTGCCGCACCCTGGGTCTGTCAGGTGCTTGAGGTGATAAAGCGTCGGAATGAGACAATCCAACCGGCTCTGTCCACGGTATGTGTTCGAGACGTAGCCCTCTTTTATCTTTGTTCTTTCTTGAAGGGTCGCGCTTTCTGGATAAAAACATGCGACCTTGAGTCCATATTTGTATGTAAGACCCGACTAAGTCATGAGTCTGAAAGGCCCTTTTTGTGTGTCTCAGGCTGACAATTGTAGCAAGTTAAAATCAGAGATCCAATCGAAGGCGTGTGCCATCGACAAGTTGAAACAGAAGAGGGAGTTCTTGAGAATGAGAGCGGAAAGGATTCCTCAAGAAGGTGCATGGGTGTTGGGACGAGGTGCTGTAGCGCTTCTTTACAAGATGCTAAGCTGATGCGAGATTCTGCATTTGCAGATGCTATTCGAGCAAAGAAACAGGAGGCACGGGACAAGCAGCTTGAGGAGCTGCAGGCTGCTCTGGAGTCCACTAAAAGAGACCAGGAAGCTATGCACAAGGAGCTTGTGCATGGGGAATCCGCTTTTGTTGAGGAAAAAATGAAGCTGCAGAGAGAGGTAAGGAACATCTTGTGCACACATTCGCCCAACAAGGTCTTATTGACATGTCCATTCACGTTAGCCTCCACCATAACGTTTTCATGCATTTGTGTCGTTGTGTGAATAGATTCAAGAAAAGGAAGATTTGTACAATAAACGACGGCATCAGCACGGAGAGATGCACAGTCATTACCAGCTTCTAATCACCAGACTGTCATCATTGGTAAGCTTGAGCCGTACGCATAGTGCACAGGGATGCCCTTCTCGCAAAAGTGGCCCACGTGTCATCCCTGTGTCCCCTATTTTGCCTGTCACAACGTGTTCCTTATAGGTACTAAGTCGCACAGAAAGGGCAAGGGACGGATTTAATATTACCCCAGACGAGTGAAGCTGCTGGAAGTGGCTGGGGTGCTGACTTATGTGCCAGGTTGCTACAAGCAACCTTTGAGACACTAGGCCCAAACTTTGTGGCTGGGGTTGGGTGGGCAGATTTGTCAACACCAGGGCCACCAAACCTGGTTGAGCTGGGGTGTTGTTCATGCTACCATATAACTGTACTCGTATACAGACTGAAGTTGTAATGCAACAGCGAGTCAGCAATTCGTACAAACAGCTTACTCAATTCGAAGGAGGGCTTTTGCCCAAGTCATTTTTGCATCAAACATGTCTGTCAACTCTCCTACATTCACCTAGGAAGGTGTGCTGGTTTCCGGTTCACACGCAGGGCTGGCAGCTCCTTTAGTTTAGGAGCTGTGTGTGCCACAGTTTGGCGTGTTTGGTTCCGCTACCCGTGCATTCCAAACGCCGTGGAGAGCACGCTGTCCTTCACCCTGGGTTATCCTAATCCCCCCCTGATTTTTCTAGTGTCAAATGTGTTTCTACTTAAGAAAGTCCCTGCATCACCAGCGCCAACTCAGCTGGATTACACGGTCTTTTCCCAGGAGTACTTCTTGGCCACGTGGTACTTCTGGAACCACACGTACAGCTTCTTCTGCAGCCCGCTCATGCGGAACATCCACGGCTGCTTCCCAGCCTTGTACGTGGCGCAACGGGGGATGCTGCGGCTGGTGACGCGACAGCCCTGAATGTTGAAGTTTTTGAAGCTGACGGTGATGGGTCCTGAGTTGAAATTGGACTTGAGAACGCTCCATTCCGAGCTGTCCCAGATGGAGCCCTGCAGCGCATATATAAGAGCAGGGTAGAAGTGAAGATGGGAGGGGTGGAAGGAAAGAGGATATGCTCGATAATGGACGCGCCTGGAGGTAAAACTTTGAAGATAATTGAATGGTTATCTCCGGAACAGAAGTTGGCAGAGGGTACGACAGGCAACGCAACGGCTCCAAGAAATTGCGCCTTTCAACACTCCCCAAAGCGCGATCACGCCCGAGTAACGTGCGGAGCACTCACCCGAATCCGGAGCGGCTTGGAAGGGAAACCAGGGCTGTTCCGACGGTATGCAATTCGGATGGGGATGGCATCAACGAACCACGTCACCGCCGTGGGACTCCATAGAATGCTGTAGCGATGGTACGCGGCGGACGGGTCGAACGGAAACGTGAACTGCTCAAGCTTGTTGTAGCCGTTAGTAATCAGATTAGTATGCATAATAATCTCGCGCGGGTTCTTGCCGCCTAGGAACTCGAAGTCGATCTCGTCGTGCACGTCTTTAAAGCCTTTGTTCCCGGCGGAGATTAAGTACATGCAGGGGATGATGCCGCCGGAGTAGCCCTGAGGAAACTTCATTCGCACGCTGAACATGCCGTACATGTAAAAGTTGCGCGACGTGAAGGCTGCGCGAAGAGGGGGGGGGGGGAGTCGGGGGAGAAAAAGCGCCTGTGAGTTGTTGCGGGAGGGTGCAAAGGTGAGTGGTTTGTTCGAACGTGCACATGTGGTGGTGACACGGGTGGTTGAACGGATGAAGCGATGAAGTCACGGGGCGATGACGGTAAAAGGTGACTCGGGTTCATGGAGTTTCAAGCGAGCAGGGTTCAGGTGTGAATACTGGTAGGGGCAAGAGGAAAGCAGACGAGGAGGGGCAGAGAGAATAACTCACATCCCATGTTGTTGTGGTACGCTCGAAGGTTGAGCGAGCCGTCGGCACCAAGCTGGCAGTAGTCGCTGCCGTTAGCGAAGGCGTCGCACTTGAAGTTCTTGAGGAATGGCGACGACTGTCGCGAGAGAGGGATGGATTTCCGCGACCCCGCCGAAGTTGGGGGAAGTGACGCGACGATGACGAGGAGGAATACCAGTGGCAGGCATGCCGTCCACGTTCTATGATCAGGGAAGGCCATTGCGTCCAGTTAACGACGTGGCAGAAAAAAATATTACAGCGGAGACTTATTGCTAAATTTGCCGCAGCAATTTCAGGTCCCCAAGCATCAGCCGAGCGAACGAGTGGACGATGCTCCTCTTCTCTGCAAAACAACTCGCTTTCGTCCCTCCCTTTCAGAGAATCAGTGTGAGAGGTCTCTTCAGCAGATTTGGTGATGTTGGGAGGGGCAAACTGGGAGGGAATGAGCAAGAAAGGCGCTTGCACTCATTCCAATGAAACTGCGAGGTTTATGGAGGATTTTGAAGGCAACATGTCAAAGCGAAATGTGAGATGGGTGGAAACCGAAGGCATGAGACATTCGACTCTGTAGCCGAGTCGCAACGGGTGAACCGCGACGCGAGGACAACCAGTGATGGTTTGTCGCAACGCAAAGATTTGCCCATTTCGTCCCTGCCGTGTCGCATCAAGAAATGTTTGGCAGGGATTCGTTGCTTGTCCCAACGCTCCGTGAAAAGTATGGCGGTGACAAGTCTCCCACATCACTCCTCAAGGAACGAAAATTTACCCGCTTTGGTTCGCGAGGGGCAGCATCTGGGCTTGACGGCTGCTTCTCATGTCAGAAGTGCTGCCCGTGCGATGCTTGTGTGTTTCAGCGAAACATCTCGAAAGGCACCCACGATCCATCCGTTGGATTGTGGCCCTGAGAGACCAAAGCTGATGGATGTGTCGTCGATTGAAGTCCAAGGTTCATGCGAAGACCATCGCAAAAAGCTCTCCTGAAAAGTTTTTGTTTCCGCATTGGAGAATCTGGGGTAGGAGCACAAAGACCACGAAAAAACATATTCCCCTCCCATCAAAACATTCACTTCGTCACGTGGGGTGCGAAACAGAGAGCTCGAAAGGCCATCCTGATCCTTTCATCATGAGCATCATCAGTAAGCTGACATGAGAAAAATGCTCCACAAACAGTTTGTGAAGGATTATCAACCAAGTACGTCTATACAAATATCACATTAGGCTTTCCATGCATTTGGAAATAATGACGCAGCTGTGGCCCCTCGAATCCATGAACGCTCATCATTGGACAACCCATTGGTGATGGATTGAAGAAGATCCCAGCTTTCCTTGTAACCGCATTCCATCACCACAAATGGGAAATCACTGCATGGCAAACAACACATGTTGCAACAAAAAAAAAGGAAAAAAGAGTGATTTGAAGAGAGTGACATTACGGTAGGTAAATGTTGGGAAATGGATTACCCAACTTTTGAGGCACAAGTGGGTGAATGGCAGAGAAACTACCTTCCCCATAGCAGCCTGTGTGCTCCAAAAGTCTTGATTAAATCCTGCACTTGCTCCCACGTGTCCGAGTAGGGGTAAGGCTCTCGAGACACCCGGAAATGCGCCGATGTCTTCACATACACCTGAAAGACAGAGGCATGCGAGGTGATTGGGAAACGACTGCAGAGCGCCGGAAGCGGAGAGGTGGGAAGCTTTTGAGACGTCTCAAAAGTCGTCTTCACATACACGTAAAGGACGCAGGTGTAAGAGGCAGTTGGAACTGAAAACAAAGGGCAGGAATGCAGAGAGTTGGGAAATTGTAGTGACAAAACAAGCACAAGTGAGACAGAGAGAGAGAGAGAGAGAGAGAGAGAGAGAGAGAGAGAGAGAGAGAGAGAGAGAGAGAGAGAGAGAGAGAGAGAGAGAGAGAGAGAGAGAGAGAGGGGCGTCACCTGAGGGAAGCGAGCAAGTGAGAGCAGGCGATTCCATGTGGTGCGGTCGGCAGCGCTGATAATGGGGCATGCACCGAATGCAAGGTGGGGAGGCGGGGAGAGGGAGGAGAAAAGAGGGGGAGGGGACGAGAGTGGGAGGACATGTTGAGGCGCACACGAGGTTCATTAAGTGGTGGTGAGCAGGGGTGAGGAACTTATAAGTGCGACGATGAAGAGCGGGGGACGAAGGGGGAAGGGGAAGAGTGGGTGAGGAAGGGCACAAGAGCAGGAAGAGGAAAGCGAGAGGAGGGAGGAGGTGGCTGTGAGAGGGGATGTCTCACGTGGCGGAGGGGTGGTTGGGGTTGCGACAGAAGCCAAAGTGGTCGAGGATGACGCGCGTGTGGGGGTGCGCTGTGCACAGCTGCTCTATCTCGTCCGCATGCAGGTGGAAGCCCTGAGGGGTGCGGTGGGGTGGGGTGGGGTGGGGTGGGGTGGGGTGGTGATCGGGAATTTGGAGGGTGGTTCTGAGGCGCCTAGGGATTAACATGTGGTTCCTAAAAGAAGAGACGAGCTTTGAGGCGCCTCAAGACTTGCCATGGACATGGAAAGGGAAGGTAAGGACAGGTTACAGCACTAGGAACGCAGCAGCATCCTGCCCCCCTCCAATCTCCACCGTCACCTCCTCCAATCCCACTCCACCCCTCCTCCATGCACCCCACCTTGAAGCACATGAATGCAACAGGTGCGCCCAGCTCGCCTGCCCGGGAAAACATTTCCTGCCCCACTCCGTTGGTCATCTGCCCGGGGCAGGCAGTGGGACGTGGGACGAGGCAGGCCGGGGCGAGGGGAGTTGGGGAATGGGGGGAATGGGTGGGGTGGGGGTGGATGGCAGGAAGGTGTGAGGTTAGGCAGCAAGGGGAGGGGAGGGAGGAAAAGATACACATTCAAGAGGAGATGGTTGGAGGTTGGTTCATGGGAGGAATAGCAGGAAGAGAACACGTGCTTCATGATTGCTGTGTGTGTGTTGGGAGGTGAAAGGGTGGGGGTTTGCATATGCACCTTCTCCCCATCAGGCCAGAGGTATGGGTTGAAGCGCACGCATTGATACCCTTCCTGCCAGTGCCAGCAGCAGTAACATAATAACATAAGAACGTGAGGCGGCGGCAGCAACATGGGGACAGTGATGGCACATAAGCCCACAGATTCAATCATTGGGGTTGGGAGACGTGAGACGACTTTTGAGGCGCCTCAAACAGGATGGTGATGACTTTGGTAAAAATAAAAAAACTTACTCATCGAGGGCACCAGATGACAACCCGCAGGCAGCCATGTTTAGTGGTTCGTGTTTCGCAGCAACGCACCTGTCATTCCACCCATGCACCACC